TGCAATTAATGGCTATCCCTTCTAATCGGCATCAGAGGCGATCTGAAATAGTTCTGTAATGTGGTCATTAGCCGAGCTGGATAAAGTGTTAGGGAATAGGCACGGAGCAATATGTAAAAGCAGTTTGTGAGGAAACACGAAATGGAAAAGCTCTAGCAAAAGGCTGCTTTGCTCCCGTTCAGCAGAGAGAGACTCCAAGATACCAATATGGAATTCCTCGCGGATCTGAAGAGCGTTTTTATTTTGAAGTGATTTTTTTATTTTAAAGTGAGTTTTTATTAGAGCTATTTTATTAAAACTCTGCGTCTCTCCCTGTTTCGCGAAGTACTTTCAAACTCGTGCGCGGGGCGAAACGCTTCGCCCCACGTTTTATTGAGGCGGGAGAGGGATCACTGCATTCCTGCCTGCTCCGGRGGGAGGAAGAGCATCTGCGGGCCCCATCCCGGGCTGGGGCAAACGGGGCAGGTTGCCGCTTTGCCGCCAAGCTCGCCGGGGCTGGGAGCGGAGCTTATCGCGACAGAGCGGGGAAAGTCTCCCGCGGGATATCGCGGATTTGGGAGCGACGTTACCCGCTGCCGACGGGAAGGGCACGGCGGGGGCTGTTTGGGACTCAAAACAGGCGAGASCCGCAGGCGAGGGCTGGAAGCGCCTGTCGGGCTCCGGGTTTCAATCCCACCTGCGCGGGGGCAGGGAGACCCCGCTCTGCAGAGGCGGGCGAGCCTTTTCCCGGCGCCTTTTCCCGGGACAAGTCAAGGCGGCTGCTCTGGCGGCTGTTGGCTGCCCCAGCGCTGCGCGGCTGCGGGGGTGCGCCCCCCGGGCCCCTCCGTTTCCATTTCTYGCGCTTATTTAGCGAGGTGCCCGAGTGCTCAAACCATCTTCACGTGTCTCCCTGAGCGGCGGCTTCGCGCTCCGCAGGCAACAAGACCCCGCGCTTCATGTGTGGTTGTAGTAAGGGGCGCTGAAGACGCGGGTACCGCGGACGGACCCACGGATTTCAGCCCCCTTTTCCCCCGAGAGATCTGGCGCCTCCGGCCCGTCTGAGCCGGCCCAGCTCTCCTCGCCGAATCCCACTTTGGCATCCCGAAGAAAGTTTGCCGGGAATCCCGGCTGCAGTTTTCCCGTTGCCCAGTAGACGGCACAACAGCTCAATCCTTCAAATGCAAAGCAGCCGACCAGATTTTTTTTTTTTCTTAATTAAGCCACCAGAGTTTTACCCAGATTTTTTTATTATTATTAATTTCATGCAACGAGAAGTAGCAATAGCAATAGCGAAGGAAAGGCCTTGACACATGCAGAGGGCAAAAAAAGCGCTGGGAGGCTACAGGAAAGCAAATCATGAGCTCGCAGGCACCAAGTGCGGAGCCGCGCGCATCCTGCGCGGGGTAGATCCGCGCGAGCGCAACTTGCGGCGCCCGGTGCTGCCGTGACGGTCGCGGCGGGCGCGAGGCCGGGACCGGGCGGGATCGGGATCCCGGCGGCTCCGCGGGCCCGGCCCGTGCTGGGGCTTGCGGCTCCGAAAGGCGCTTTTCTTACCCCCTTTTTACTTTTTCTTTTCTTTATATTTTCTCTTTGGCGTGTGTGCCCTCCCTGCCTCCGCAGTCGCTGCTGCTGGAGCAGTCGAAGTGAC